AACAGGGAATGACTGCAGAAGGTTAGTAGGAACACAACAGCATGACGATGACATAAGGCCTCTGTTGGCAGGCGGCCCCTGTAAGTCTCCAGACACAGCCATGATTTGGCACTCCTGCCTTGGCCAAAGAGCTGGATGCTGATTAGGTCACTTTTCTTGTCACTGGGCCTCATCCTCTGGGAGGCAATCAATGTTTGTCCAGACGAGCAGGCAGCCACCTTCGACCTGTTGGAATGGAACACATGCACACCTTCTCCCCTAGGTTAGTAAATCAGCTGGGCCTTGCCGTTGCACACCCAACTGGGAATCTTTAAGTAGAAGCTTTTAGAAATTTGTTCTATACATGTAAATCCTCAGAGCAGTATCGCTCTGCTGGGGACTAAATTTGATGATTTATTTTCAAAACTTCTAGTGTAAATATTGCATTATCTAAATGTTCTTGAAGAGCCGTATGCCTTTTTTGGGTTTTTATTTTTTTGCAACATGCACGTTTCCCACTATGAACATGAAGGCAACATGAAAGTAAAACAATACACACGGTAAAGCAACAAACTCACACTAAGCAGACATAGGCAAGGAAATACACTAAATCAGTAGCACACGAGAGAGAGGATGGTAATTAAAAATGATACATTATCAATTCCTTAAATACCATACTATCACCCAGAGGTTGCAACAGCTGACAAGCCTCATTTTTAGCGAGGACATGGAGAGCCATTCCCAGGTAAGGTTTCCAAGTTCACTTTAAAAGAAGTGTCCTGAGTCCAAATGGGCAAATCAAAGTGACTGGAGTATTTTTTTCATGCAAAAAACACCTGGCTTTGTCAGAGTGCTGCCCGACCAGGTAGAGCCATGGCTTGGCCACAGCCAAGGCCTTAACTGGAAGGGTTTCCTTAACATACCTTAAAAACAAGCCTCTCCTTAACAGCAGCTAGGAAAATTTCCTAAAATGGTGGATGTTTTGCAAATAGTTATACAAAGATATGTTAAAGCTCGTAAAGCAGCTAGCTTTGTCATTTAAACTCAGTTAAACAGTATCTTATGGACAATACCTGTCATAAGAATTCAGTGAATTCATGTTATGACATTAAAACAGAATAAAAGTTAAAGAAAGAAACTACTAAACTGCTTACAACTAAGAGCAGTCATAATCTGGAGTTGTTACTCATTCTTCAGTGTTACCTATGGAAGATAAAACAGCAGCGATGGTTAAAAATAATTATGTCAATTAATCAGTGTGAAACATTTACACTCACAAAATCCTTGATGAAATTAAGGATTTAAGAAACCGTTTCTTCACATATTTTACACAACTTATTATCTTATATTTTTAACAGGTGGCTACTAATGTTTCATCAGTTATTTCAGTTGGTTTTATCTTATCTCTATAACAAAATAACTGTATCTTGTAATTCAAATGAGCAGACATTAACAGAAATTAATCTTAACAGAAATTAGCAGACCTTAAATTTAACAGAATCTTAACCTGCCAGAACTTAAATATAACAGAACCTCAAACTTACAACATGCAAGCAAACAATTGCTTCGTAACTGAAATAGCAGTAACATGGATTTACTGGAGAGATTATAAAGGTGTGCCAAATATGTTGTGATTTTATGCATTCATAGAGAAGATTTGTCTGGTGTAAGTAACTCTTTGCTAGAGTTTTGGTTTTTGTTTTTGTTTTGTTTTGTTTTTAGAGTGCAGCTTTACTCAGAAAAATGACAACAGTGTAGTTTTTGGCAAATTGCCCTGCAAACCTGCAGCTTTTTGAGATTGCCTGTACAATAGATTTGAGCTTGGCCTTATAAAGGTCAATGGGGTATAAATATTCAAGGCTAAAACAATAAGAACTTAGTTATATAATGCCATGAGTTTTACACAAGTAACTTGGTTACTTTAGTGGGTGTGTAAGACTGATAAACTGTTTTGATACCAAAAGATTCACAATAAAATTACCTTGTTAAAGCTGCGAGGTAAAAAGCAAGTGAACTGGCAAAGCTGGGGTAAGTTTGTCTGCCTTTGCAGAGGAATTTCACATTGTAATTATAACTAAGTCTCGAAGAGCTACTGCAGATAAAGTTCAAGGTTTGCCTGGAATGTGAGCAAAAGAATGTCTAATTTACGACTTGTGCCAACTGCAGTCTTGAAAGTTAATTGCTGTTCCGTTAACATCGACCTAAAATATTTGCAAGGAGGGATCCCCGAATTTTCTAAGAAGGCACTGTATCTTACAAATATGAACCTTCTTGTCCACAAACTGAAATATTATCCATTTGCAAATATTTTTCCAGGTATGTAAGTTTTTAATTACCATGGTAATAGCTAACACCATTATAAATTGGCAAAGAATCAGTGTAAATTCAGTTCAATCAGACCTCAAATCAAAATTCCTGAAAAGGGAGCACACACTCCACAGGGCAAGATGCACCAATCATGCAAAATGCAGGGCCTGATGCTAATGTGGGGCTGCACCATGGGCAGGGGGATCAACCCATTCCCAGATTCTTGTCCTGGATCCATACCCAGAGTCATTATCTGTATCTGTCTAGGATTCCCTGCTGCAGCTGCACACAGGAGTTTTTAACATCAAGGTTTCTCTCATCTAGGAAAAAGGTACATGGTTTTCTAACCTGTAATAAAAGCTGCTCCAATGTGGAGAAATGACTGTAATATCAGTAAGGGTCTGGCTTGCCAAGCCACTGTCCATCCTGTCTTTGCAACTTAGCATCCCGGTGCTTTGGGGCTTTGTTGTCGGCCCCAGACCTCTTCCTCACAGTAATCCTACCTCCTGTCGTTTGTAGGCAGAGGAAGCTAGAACAAGTTTTGGAAGGGGGGGTATTAAACAGAGGAGCTCTCATGAGTTGGGCAGCGACGACAGCAGCAGCAACCGCTGCCTCTCTATCGACTTTTAATTGCAGCAATGAGTCCCAAATCAAGTCCCACATCGTTAGCCGTCTTCTGGCTATTCCATCCCCCTTTGTAGCTGCTTCCCATAACACTTGCCCTGCTTCCTCTCATGTTTTGACAAAAAAGGCAGTCTGTACATCAGTCTGCACATCCACTCTTACCCATTTCTCTTGCACCAAATGAGCAAAGTGCATAGCGCCCGCTTCTCATATTTAATACCTCTCTTGTGTAATATTCACAAAAGAATGCTCAAAACAGATTTTCCTTCTGTTGATATTTGAGCCCCCATGTCTCTGATCACAGTTGCTCACCTGGAGTCAGGTGTGTCTCTGCTTTCTTAAATCATCCAGACTTTCAGGCTCTCAGGTCCGCCTGTTTTGCTTGACTGAGCTCCATCGCTGGCTGCTCTCAGGTCCACAGCCCTGACCCTAACACGTCCAGGGTCACCATTTAGTGGTGGACACAAAACGGACGCTGAAGATGGTATCAAGCAGCAAAAGCCCACTTTATTGCAAAAAACAGACTTTTCTAGCAGTTAGCTGGTTATCAGTTTACACAGTTTTAAGGCACAACAAGCCCAAGTCAGCCAATCACCATACACCACGATGTGGACATGCAGCAGTCTCTGCAGCACGACTCTCACATCTCCATATCCCTATTCCAGGTGAGTCCCTCTCCCACAGTCCTCTTCTACTTAGCCGAAGTAGCAGGCCTGAGCCATGACTTCACAAGGGCAACAAGACCCTTATTTCATCAGGCTTCATCTATATACAACAGGGTATGGACCTGCACGGATGGTCGGCCCAACCCAGGATACTTCTAATCATGGAATGGTTTGGGTTGGAAGGCACCTTAAAGGTCATCCAGTTCCAACCCCCTTGCCACGGGCAGGGACATCTTCCACTAGATCAGGTTGCTCAAAGCCCCGTCCAGCCCGGCCTTGAACGCTTCCAGGGATGTGGCATCTACAGTTTGTCCGGGAAACCTGTTCCAGTGCCTCGCCAATCTCACAGTGAAAAATTTCTCCCCAACATCTGATCTAAACCTATCCTCTTTCAGTTTGAAGGCATTCCGCCTTGTCCTATCACGACATGTCCTGATAAACAGTCCCTTCCCAGGTCTCCCACAGCCCTGTTAGATACTGGAAGGCTGCAGCAAGCTTTCTCTCCAGGCCTCACTTCTCCAACTGAACACCCCCAACTCTCTCCCTGCAGCCTGCCTTCACAGGAGAGGTGCTCCAGCCCTCTGATCATCTTCGTGGCCTCCTCTGGACTCTATCCAAAAGGACCATGTCCTTCCTGAGCTGGGGGCCCCAGAAGTGGATGCAGAGGAAGCTGCATTTTAATAAGCATTTGACAATATTAGTCCATTCACCTCACACCACCCACTTTTTGCAAGTTTTATCTTGATGAAAGTTCAAAATCAATTTACTGGAGATACAATTAAGTTTAGATCTGCAGGGGGAAACGACGCTTTTGTTTGGCATTGCTCTTTGTCACGGGACAGAGCTAGCGGAACGCTGCAAATTGTGGCTGTAGGTTTATAACAAGCACCTGTCACAAGGCTGTTTCTGGCACGCTGACACTTAACTGCTGGCCTCAAAAGTGTACTGCTTGCCATTTTCAAGCATGGGATTTTGCAATATGAAGAGGTGAAAGTGGCTGAGTATTTTGAGTCACTAACCAAACCACAGCTAACTCAACAAGGATCAAAATTCAGTAACCAAAGACTCCGAACAAGGACTTATCTGAAGGAGGTAACCAGAAAGAGAAGAAATAAGTGAAAACTTCAGAGACAGCCAGTTTAAAAGAAAATCATTGGGAGAAAAGATTGGTAAAGGAGTTTCACAGTTTTAATGATGGGAAAGTGTTTGGGACTTTTGGTCACATTTTGCTAAAGGTGCTCATTTCCGTGGTCCAAGGAAACACTGGAAGGTTTTGGGTAATGCCGGGAGGCCTTGATTTCCCGGGCACAGCTCAGCGAAACAAGTTCCCACTCATGGTTGGGCCAGGCAGCTACGGACACAAAAGATTTCTTTAGTTAAGGCACCAGCAAAGGCGATGCGGTAACTGAGGTGTATCACTGACTTCTCTGTCCCAGCTTCATGCCCCTCGCAGATCTCACCCCAAACTTTGCCCTTGGAAAGCACAATTTGGCGGTGACAGCCAGGCCCTCTCCGCCGGTCGGTGGCAGGGCAGGGTGCCGGCGGGGACGGACCGTGGGGCTTCCCGGCCGGCCGGCGCTGCCCGCCTCGGGGACCAGCGCTGCCAACTTTCTTTCTGCATCGCCTGGGCTCGCTGGGACGCCGCGTCCCCGCCGGAGGGGATGGGAGGAGGAGGCTGGGGCTGTTCGGCGGCCGTACCTGGCGGGGCCGGGCTCCCCTCGGGGCCGGGGGGCCCCGCTGCCCCGGGAGCGCCTTGACCCCGCCGGCACCGCCAAGGTCACCGCCCCGACGTGTCCCCCGTCCCCCGGCCGCCGCTGCCCCGCCGCCGACACTTGAGAGTTTAAAGAGGCTTTTCTTCCCCGGGAGCGGCGCCTGAGGGAAGGGGAAGGGGCAGGAGGGGGCAGGCAGGAGGGACAGGCGGGAGGGGCGGGGAGAGGCTGGCAGGGCAGGAGCCGGGCGGGGTGCTGGCTCCAACTGGAAAGGAACCGGTCCCAGCCCAGCCGGGGAGGCTGCGGGAGAGCCGGCAGCGCTGGGCAGAGCACGCCGGCCCCGGTCCCGGCCCCGGTCCCGGCCCGAGCAGCGCCGCCCGCCATGGGCACCGCGCCCCCCGTCAGTGCCGCGGCCCCCGGGGCGGGCGGGGGAGCAGCCGCGGGAGGGACCGGGGGTCTTGGCGCGGGAGGATCGAGCCCGCGTCAAATGTGGGACGGGAGGACTCGGAGGGGGACCTGCAGCCTGGGTGGGGGTCAGGGAGGAGAGGGTGAGAGCAGCGGGGCTTGGGGAGGATGGTGATGGTTTGCGCAGCGGGCATGGCTTCCCGGAGCCACAGTCCTGCTGGGAGACTAATTCTGAGTTTGTGCTGTAGAGTGGGTCTGTGAAGGCAGGGAAGATGCCAGAAGGAGAGAAAATGGGACAATGTAAGCAAGAAGAGGAGCAGCAACAGAAAGAGGAGCAGGAGGGTCTGATCGAATTCTACAGTTCCTACCAGGAGCTATTCCAGTTCTTCTGCAGCAACACGACCATCCACGGGGCTATCCGCCTGGTGTGCTCCAAAAAGAATAAGATGAAGACAGCCTTCTGGTCCGTCCTCTTCTTTCTCACCTTCGGCTTAATGTACTGGCAGTTCGGGATCCTCTACAGGGAGTACTTCAGCTACCCTGTCAACCTCAACCTCAACCTGAACTCCGACAGGCTGACTTTCCCGGCCGTGACGCTGTGCACCCTCAATCCGTACAGGTAAGAAATAGACTCGCAGAGATGTTGACTGCCTTGACTTTGATGGGTGCAGGATAAAGGCACCTACTCTGGTTCTCCTTGTGGTCCTCGAGTGCCCGCTGTTGTCGCTGTGCCGGTGGGAAGGATGCTTGTCAGAGGCCTTTGCTGCTGCTGCGGGCACTCACAGTAAGGCGTGAGAGCTTAGGCAGCTCTGCTTGCTGGTGTACAGCAGGCTGCGATATAAACTGCCACAGGGCTAGAGCAGATTTACTTCTCTCCTGCAAGATAGCCTCCAGCAAGTGGTTAGATTTACAGCTGTGGCAGGAATCACCCCAGCAAACTCTGCTGCCTGTCTTATTCAGAGCTGTTTGTGTGCATCCAGCCCTAAAGCTGCTGCTCTTCTGTCCCCCCTGTACAGATACAGCGCCATCCGTAAGCAGCTGGATAAGCTGGACCAAATCACCCAGCAGACACTGCTAGACCTCTATGACTACAACATGTCTCTGCCACAGGAAGACTGGTCCACATCGTCCTCACAAAAGCGTAGCTCAAGGAGCCTGCTTCATCACGTCCAGCGCCATCCTTTGCGGAGGCAGAAGCGGGACAACATAGTCAACTTGCCAGAGAACAGTCCCTCAGTGGACAAGAATGACTGGAAAATTGGCTTTGTTCTGGTGAGATCTCTAGGTACCCCATGCCCTACCCACTCCAATCTGCCTGGCTACTTTTGTCTTGTTAGAACCTTGGCCATGCCTTTCCTTATGTAGAAGTCTGATTAATCTCCACTGGTTTTTGCTAATGACAGATGAAGGTAGAGCTGAACCCTTTGCTCCATACAATCCTGCTCCCCAAATTCTATCCATGTTCATGCAGGCCCCAGGGGACATGTCCAAGTCAGTGTACATCTCTTCCCAAGAGCAGGAAAACTTTGTCCTTGCTGAGGGTACATCAGCCTTGCAGTTGCCTTTGAGAGCAGTTTATCAGCATCAGCTGCTGCATTGCCCAGTAATAGCTAAGGAGAATGTATTTGATGGTCCTGGGCCACCTGAAAGGTGATCACGGTTGCAATTGCTCCTAGCTAGCAGCTTCCTCGCCCTAGGGTATCTGTGTTTGCATTTAAAAAGGCACTGAAGGACTGAAGCTAATCGCTCAGCAGTTAACTGGGGTTCCCACAGGATCACAAAAGTTTTTCTGGACACACCCTGAAGGAAGGGCTCCCCATGCAAGAATTTAAAGCTCTTGGTTTTATACCAGGTAGAATTTATGTGCATATTACCCTGTACACCTTGCTGCCTCCTGGGTCTTACTCAGCCTCGCTTATTCATCTGGCGTTGCCCTTCCACCCAGGAGCTGCGCTGGGTTTTTTTCCATCTGATCACCTGTTGGTCACACTCAGGAATCCTGGAACTCTTCACTTCCTCGGTCATCCGCCTGTGCTGAGGGAGCACAGCTTATCCACGGGCAGAGCCTTGTCTCCTGGATGAGAAGACTTCTCTGACACAGCTCTTCTTCTTCTTCTTCTCAACAGTGCAATGAAAACAACGACTGCTTCCATCAGGCGTACTCCTCGGGAGTGGATGCCGTGCGGGAGTGGTACAGCTTTCACTACATCAATATCCTGGCACAGGTGCCTGATGCAAAAGCCCTGGACGAGTCTGACTTTGAGAATTTCATCTATGCTTGCCGCTTCAATGAGGCAACGTGTGACAAGGCGTAAGTAGTGGCAACACCCCTGAAAACACCTACTTTGTGCCTGGGCTCGAGGGGAATCAAGGAACCCACCTTAGAGAACCTCTTTTCTGAGGTGGGATCGTTCCTTGTTCAGTTCCCATTTGAAAGGTCAAATGATCTTTCTTGAGTCTTTCCTGTGGGTTTTGCATGTCAGGGCCACAGGTTCTGTGGCCTGGAAGTATGAAAGGATGGTTTTGCCTTTTTCTGGGTTTCACACAAATGAAATAATTATGCTGGTACAAACACCAGAGAGGGCACAGATGTACAGCGTAGAAGTATTTATATTCTACCCTCCACAGTGGTAAAGTACATATCAGCCCACAGAATAAGAGAAGAGAGGGTCACAAAAAGACAGTAAAAATATGTTGCACTTTTCTCCTGCCATTATTGGTCAAAAAGCCCCAGGGAGGTAGTGGAATGAAAACGATCTGCAAGGAAGGAAAAGCGGTAGGAAAATCTAAGAGGTTCATCGGTATTAGGAAGATAATACAGTAATTGCTAGCACTGCTAAAACCCATTTGGGCTCTGAAAAGCAGCATGAAAAACCTCGTGTAAAAACCTGTCCAGCTCCAGGACATTTTTTACAGCACATTTTAATTGCTTTTCCCTGTTCATGAGAGTTTACATAACAAATACTGCCCATCTGTTGTAAGCCCCTGTCCCTGCTGATGGAAAACAGAGTTGTTCCTTTCAGAAAGCCCTTCCCCTTGGTTTCACAGCCCATCTCACTTTGTTTCTGTTCCCCTGTCAGGAACTACACGCACTTCCACCATCCCTTGTATGGCAACTGCTACACCTTTAACGACAACAGCAGCAGCGTGTGGACATCCTCGATGCCTGGGATCAATAATGGTGGGTGAGAGGCACTCTTTGGTGAGTAAGGAGAACAGCTCAGCTCTGTTTTCCCTAGGAGTTATTATGGGCATCCTGCTGTGATTAGTACTGGTGGTGGCAAATTGCAGCCCTGCTCTGTCTCGCCCAAGCTGCTTTCACCCATCTGGAGACAGCTGTCTCATGGACATGACTGCCCCTCACCGCTGCCCACTGAACTCTCTCTCCCTCATCAGTGCCTGATCCTTATGCTCTTTGTGTCCTCTGGACTTGTGCTGGCCCTTCCTGAAGTCCTCTGCTGAGCCATAGTGCTCCTGGTCTTCACCTTCCCCATTTGCCCCTTCAAGAAACTGACCTGTTTGTGTTCCTAAACCCCCTGAAACCTATCCAGACCAAATCTTCAGGCTTTTCTTCCATCTGGCTTCAGGTTTATCTATTAAATCTCTCTCAGTTGCCAGTTCTGTTTTTTCTAAGCCACAGTGATTAAATTGAGTTTTCACTGGCCTCTTCTGGAGTGTCCAGCTTTTTCTCTGGCCTCCCTCCAACCATCCTCTGTTGCTGCCAGGCTTTGGTGCAGCCCTGGGTGATGTCTGTCTTTCCTTTGTCTCTTTCAGACTTCCTTCTAAGCATCCTGCTCCCCCTTCTGTGCTGCACCACAGCTGGCCATGACCTCCCTGGCTCTCTGATGTTCCCGCAGGTCTCTCTCTGGTGGTGCGCACCGAGCAGAACGATTTCATCCCTCTGCTGTCCACGGTGACAGGAGCCAGGGTCATGGTCCACGATCAGAATGAGCCAGCCTTCATGGACGATGGGGGTTTCAACGTTCGCCCTGGCATCGAGACCTCCATCAGCATGAGAAAGGTGAGCAAGCAGAAGGGGGAGAGCTGTGGATAGGAGGTTTAACTCGGTGGACCTGCAGTGTGTGTTTAAGGGAAGGGACTAATCGCATGGAGTGAAGGGAGAGGAAGAAGAACAGCTCGCTGGACTAGATGAGAGGCATTTGGCTACAGTTTATCAGCGAACAATGAAATGGAGGCAAGCAGGGGGAGCTGGCATCCCGAGGAAAGCATAAAGAGCAGATACTGAGGGATGAGCAGTGTGTGGTGTGGGAGAGTGGGAAGAGGAGAGCAGTGGAGGTGTTGTGTGCAGCGAGCATCTGCTGTTGCAGGAGATGACCATGCGCCTCGGGGGCAGTTACAGCGACTGCACAGAGGATGGCAGTGACGTGCCGGTGCAAAACCTGTACTCGTCCCGCTACACCGAGCAGGTAGCTCACAGTCACCCCTCCTTGTTTCTCCACTTTCCTGACATGCTTCAGCCCGCTAATGGCCACGCCTTTCCTTGGGCTCTGTTAATAGTGTGATGTGATACAGGCAGCAGTGGGTTTGGTTCCCTTGATCAGCCTTTTCCACCTCATGTGCCTCCCAGGTCTGCATTCGCTCCTGCTTTCAGCTCAACATGGTAGAACGCTGTGGCTGTGCATATTACTTCTATCCCTTGCCCCACGGAGCAGAGTACTGTGACTACACGAAGCACAAAGCCTGGGGTAAGTGGGCAGCAGGGACAGCAGGGCTCATGCCCACCTGAACCTGTTTGGTCCAGCCCACGTCCCATCATCTTCAATGAGCTTCCTGTGGGAGACATCTAAATGACAGTCTTGCCTTGAATGATTAGCCCCTTGTGGAAGGAAACCTCTTCTGGGTTCCCCCTGCTGTCACACACCACCTTTTGTCTAAAGATGCTGTGAGCTTACCTGGATTTACTTTCTTTGCTGTTCAGGCTACTGCTATTACAAACTCCTGGCTGAATTCAAAGCTGACGTGCTGGGCTGTTTCCGCAAGTGTCGGAAACCTTGCAAGTAAGTTGATCATCAGTCAGGCAGGAAGATTGGAATGTATTCCCAGAAGTGTTGGGAAGCATTCACTGATGGGCAAAAGCTTGAGTCAATAGCTGAGCCCCAGCCTGAAATGGTATTTCTCCCGTCAGAAAGCCAAAATGGCTGAGGAGCGTGTGGGTTGGCTTGGGGGTGAGCTCCCAAGGACTGTGCATTCCACATGGTGGGAAGTGGGTTCAACTTCAGCATGGGAGGGAATCTCCAGGTGTCCCTGAGGGTGGTGAGACCTGGCCCTGTGGCTCCTAGAGCTTCAGCAGCTAACACAGCCTGCTCTTGCCTTGCAGAATGACAGAATACCAGTTGTCAGCTGGATACTCCCGCTGGCCTTCTGCTGTCTCAGAGGTAAGGAGGGGGTGTCCTGGCTTCCCAGCATTGCTCTCACTTCCTATTTAGTCCTTCCTCAACGGGTACTAAACCTGCAGGAGGTGACTGTGATCATGTGACACAATTTGTTGCACTTTCATTTCAGGACTGGGTTTTCTATATGCTTTCACAACAGAACAAATACAATATCACATCCAAGAGGTGAGTGCCCCTAAACAGAGACTGTGTCCAAACCAGAAACCATCCCAATGGAATGTGTGTATTGGAAATGTCAGAGTTAAGATTAAATCACTGATGGGAAGAGATCAGGCATGGGACCTGTGGACAAGGGCAGTGGATTTGAGTCAGAGTAGATACATAGTGAGACTTCAGCAAGGACTGGGGACTCAAGTGAAAAATTTTGAAAGAGGTCAGATGCTGATATGAAAATAGTAAGCCCCAGCACTTGCTGTGTGTTCTGGAGTCACAGTAAGTCTTTGTGGAAAAGTGGGAAGGAGAGCTGTGCCAGAGCTTTTGCCACAAACATTGGGTTTTACAGTAGAGTGTCAGAAGTGCACTGTAAGTACCAAAGACTGTATTTAGTGCAGAATGAGAGCTGCAGAGATGGGAGAAAGCCTCTGGGCAGTATGTGTGGGAGAAGGAGAGGGGGCAGAAGGGGACAGAGGCAATTAGGCTTGGTGAAGAAATGCAGGGATTGAGGAGTTGGGGTTACTGAGCATCATGTCTCATTCACAGGAACGGAGTTGCCAAAGTGAATATCTTTTTTAAGGAGTGGAACTACAAGACCAATCTGGAGTCTCCAGCCTTCACGGTACATACACACTTTACTACAATGTCTTCTCTGGCCACCCATTCCCCCACGACGTCCCTCCACTGTGGCAAGCTTTTGTTCCAGCAGCATTGCTGGATATTGTCTCTTTTCCTTGGGCAGAGTGAGGGGAACCCCCCCAGCCCCACAGGGAAGAGGGAACAGGCAGGGAGGCAAAGTCCCAGATGAGGGCTGTTGTCACTGCTCTTTCTCCATCTCCTGCAGGTAGTGACTCTGCTGTCCCAGCTTGGGAACCAGTGGAGTCTCTGGTTCGGATCCTCTGTCCTGTCTGTGATGGAGCTTGCAGAGCTGGTTCTGGATTTCATTGCCATCACCTTTATCCTGGGCTTCCGCTGGTTCCGCTCTCGGCAGAAGCTACCTCCGCCGATACCCGCTCTGAGCAGCCAGGATAACGCTGCTTTCCAGGATGAGGCACCAGCTCTCCATGCTCCACATCGCTTCACTGTTGAGGCTGTAGTGACCACGCTGCCACCCTACAACAGCCTGGAACCACGTGGGCCGAGCAGGGATGGTGAGGAGGGACACGAGTGAGGCAGCAGCTTCTCCCACCGTTCAGATGGCTGGCAGCTGGAGCAGAGCTGCTCTCTTTGTCTGTGGGGCCTGCTTTTCCTTCTTTCTTCATGGACCATGGCAAAAGACTGCTCCATGGTTGGCCTGGGCTCATTGCTTTCACTCCTGTAGGCACATTCTTCAGTCTGATAAAATACTATTGCTGTGGGATCACCAGGGATGAGAGATGATCTAGTGTATGTGTGGGGGAGACATCCTCTTGATTTCCTTATGCTCTGTGCATACACGTGCAGGCATGCTTTCTTTTCCCTCAAGAAGGATGCTGCCACAGTTCTGGTCTGTCATTAATTAAAGAGGTTTGGCAGGTGTGACTGGCCTCCTCTGTGGTGTGACAAGGAACAGGAATGGAGTCTTAGCTGGAGTACAAATGTCTCAACAGGCTGAGCTTCGTTAAGCTTTCCCTAAACTGGTTGCTCTTTCCTCATTCTTCATGAGCTCTGATCTCAAGACTGTGTCACCTACCCTCTCCTCTCCTCAAGGACAGGCTACTTGAGACAAGAGCCATTGGCACGATCTTAATCTGTATTACACACAGTGCTCTGGAGAGGTGCTTGCTGCCACTCCCAGGTCAGGGACAAAACACCCCTGGCAAAGTAAAGGCTCCCTTTTCAAGCTGCCTTTGTGCCATTGGTAGATCTTGGGTGTCCCCCTTCCTTGGGATGCACATACATGTGTACATCCAGCTATTCGATTGTTTGATTTGTCCCAGGGCTGTTGGCAATCTCTACAACTGCTTGACCCTCCCTGCTTTCTTCCTGAGGGAAACAAAGAGAGTTTGGCAGGATTATGAACACTCTCCAAAAATCCCAAATGTAACCTCTGCTGCAATGGGATCCTGCAAGAGAGGCTCAGAGCAGCGCAGGTCATGCAGTGCATGTTCTGCTCCTCCCAGCCCTTGTCTGGTCCACCCACAGAAATTCTGCTGAGCCTCTTGTTCCTGAGGGAAGCACAGGAAAGTACTGCAGGCTCTAATCAAAAGTGTTTCCAAGGAAAACTTTAGCCTATTTGATTGGACCACACGGGCAAAAATGGTCCTCTTCTCAGGAACTAACATGAGGACCTTTGTATGAGAAGAGGTTTCTTGCAGTGAGCTTGCCATAGTCTTTTCTTACAAATACTCAGACTTCTGCTGCAATGGTGTTTGCTCTGCACTTTATGGGGTATCAAGAGAGCAAGGGTGATGTCCTTAAAAAACAGGATTATCCACTTCACAGGACAAACAGAGATACCAGAATTTAAGCAGTTTAGGCAAAGACCTGTGGAACCCTGTAACCAGTCACACTGTGAACAGCCACTTTTGAATTTAAAAACTAGTTAATCATAACAAAAGAAAAACTCAAGCTATTTTAAAGTTTAAGGTAGAGGCACTGCCCTTGGGAAGTTGGAGGAGTTTACTGCAGTGTCTAAACTATTGCCTAATTTTTCCCTTTGAGATGCTAAACACATGCTGGTTGTACTGCTCTTGCCTTGATTACCTAAAAGCATTTTCCTGTTCCCATTAGAGAGTGATTTTATTCTTCTTCACACACACACACAAATGCTATGTTCTTTATTGCACAAATATTCCTGGTTTTACAAATTTTATCCCAGTGTTCAGTTGATAACTCTTGTTTGAAAGTGAAGATAATGTTTCTGCTAGGAAGAGAAGCTAGTAATTTGGGAGGTGTCCTTCAGTAAGGGTGGCAGCCCAGCAGGAGGGAGGAGCCTGCAACAAGCACTTACAGGTGTGGAAACATGAATTCCTCCTTGGAGGCCCACATTAGAAAAAAAAAAACCCCAGAGCTTCTGCAAACATGAAAAAAATCCATTTTCTAAATGAAGTAAAAAAGAGTGAGCAATGAATGAAATCTCAAAATCTCAAAGTACCTCTGTGAAGGTAGTTTCATGTTCTGTAAAAACACTGCCCAAGAGGCAGAGGTAAAAGCTAGGTTTAGTTGCTGAAAGTAGCTTTGGCCACAATTAAAATACAAAAGGCAGGCAGATAGAGGAGCTAGGATGCTGCACCCAGTTCTTGGTCACAAATTCAGTACTGCAGACTGATGCCTTGGGTGTTTTCTAGCACATGAATGAGCAAAAACCTGACACTGGACACAAAGCTGTTTGCTTCACAAAGCCACCTTCAAATTAAGAAAGGATAAAGAGCAGGTGCAACACCTTAAAACAGTCTTTGTATGCCATAAACATACAGTGATTCATATGGTAAGCATATTTCCTCAGTAACCAAAGAGAAAGACACGATTCTTCACATCACAGAACCACAAATAACCTTGTAATAACCATAAAATTGATGAGACCTGCTGCATCATGCATAGTCAAGTGGGTGATTAAAGCAAGATTAATCAGAGGCATAACTACTTGAAACAGTAAGTCCTCTTCATCAGTAAAGAAATACAGCTGCAGAAGGTGGTGATGTATTCCCTGGGGGAAGTTTGAGCCATATCCTCTCTGTTCCATAAAAGTGTTAAAATGGAAAAAAAATGGGCTTTGACTGATGAACTCAAAGCAATGGCACCATTCAGGACAGCTGTAAATCCAGAGTTAAAAGCCTGTACAAATGTGAAGAAGCAGTTACACAAGCTGGCAAATAGATGAGCCCTCCCCGTCCTGTGAATCAGTGCAAAAATTGCCACCTTGGGAGAAATCAGGCTCCAGAAATAATCCCTACATTTATTGTAGGCTGGCAAGACCACAAGTGAGCTCAGCAGATGTATAGTGAGCTTGGTCTGGCTGAAAATAAGAGGCAAGGCCAGCAGTGCTGGAGTAAGAGACCAAAAAACAGGAGTGTTTCACTGAGAATGTGAAAAATTGAAGAAAGTGCCTTCAGCTTCCAAGTCATGCTTAAAAGCAATGCACTAAAAAGAGCTTATAATCTTTATTAAATTCTTAATACGTTTATGGCAAATTTAGTTTTAAAAAATAGTACAAAGGCTTTTGGAAAAGAAGCCTCTGAGGGAAGAGCATGAAGTGTCATGTAGCCCTCTGCAGAAATTATCTAGTGGGTCTGTGCACAGAAGGATGTTATGAAGCTGCCCATATTTGAAATCTGGGTGCTCTGAGTAAGTGTTGCACTCTATCTCTGGCCAAAAATAGGTCAAATAGTATCAGGAGTGTGGAGGCTCAGGTATCCAGCAGACAGGGCTGAGCTGCCTATTTGTAAAACCTATATCCTTATCTGTTACATCTCTCAGAGCAATCATTTGTTTAGAGGTCAGAACAAAGACAAAACCTCCCCTTTATTACCTCTCTTCACCAAGTTAAGGCTTCCAGCCCCAGTGGATACCTCAGAGCAGGGACCTCTGTCACTTCCCAAGGAAGCCAGGCTCATTAAAGTGTTGATGCTGCATTCCAGGTCTGAAGAAAATCTGTCTTCCCCACCATCATTTGGTTGCTTTCCAGCTGAGACAACAAGCCCCACCACTGACGAGAGCCTGCACTGGCTTTGAGCAGCACAGAGACACCCCAGGAAAGGCCAGAACGATGCCCCAGGCATCTACAAATACGAAGGTTCAGGGTACATCCACTCAGGAGCAGTACAGCTGAGGCTTTTCTTCCACCACAGCTGAAGAAGTCAGGATGAAGCAGTTGATATGGGAGCTGCATTTTGCACGGAATGGTTTGAGCTGGAAGAGACGTTAAAAATCATCTCAGCTCCAACTCCTTGCCACAGACAGGGACACCTTCCACTAGACCACGCTGCTCAAAGCCCCAACCAACCCAGCCCTGGACACTTCCAGAGATGGGGCATCCACAGCTTCTCTGGGCAACCTGTTCCAGCTCCAAGGCATGTTAAACATGTTCCATGTTTAAAGGCAGAGCTTGACTTTTTAATTAGACATACAAAGAACTACACTCCCAAAGCCTTGGCCTTGCTTTTGGAGCACATTTAAACTCTTGTTTTGTCTGGGATAAGAGAGTGCAGGAGCAGCAGAAATGCTGATGCAGGTAAGGATGGCACCTCAGAAGAGCTTCCAGTAGAAGATGGTATTTTCAATGCCTAACAGAGGATTTATGGCTAGATATGCAAGTCTTTGCAAACAGCCACAACATGACTCATGAACTGGGCTCAACCCTGGGGCAACTTTCAGCAGTATGTTCAGCCCCAGCTCTGTACTCCAGAGCAGCTGCCAGCTTTGGAAAATGAGCATTCAGTGCCCAGCTTTGGCTAGGGACTTGGACACTGCATCATCAACAGTCCAAAAGTGCATCTGTCCTAGGAAAACATCTTCCCTACTTCCCTACATGAGTGAGGCTGAGAACTGACAGGAACACAACACAAAACTTGGCAGGAATTGTAGCTTGACTCGTTTGTTCAGGTTGTGCAGGCCTGAACTGTGTGGAATTTTAGACTGTACATGCTGCTTTAATCCACCAGCCAGTCCAGACACCCTCCTTTCCCAGGAGGGCTTCCATCTTTGAAGAATTAGTCCAGCTGCCTTCTTCCAAATTCACCACTGAGAGTTGTTCCAGTGTGTTCACTGTTCTGGTGTGGATTTTGGTGATGTTTAAGACTGGACAAAGATTGATCATGAGGGAGCCAGATGCCACACGGAAGACTGTTTTACAACCTAGCTTTTGTAGCAATAAGGGCAGATAAGGGCACAAGTGCCTAATTTTAAAAGAAGTCTGCACTGGACAAAGCTCTGTCATTTCCTTTTAATGAGTTTCAAATGTACAGTGAAGCAAAAGAAAGGGGCACTTACCTTTATTCCAGTCATGCTCCAAGATACATTGTGAACAGCATCATACTCTTGGAGGTCTTCATTTGGGTCCTGAACTTATATTCCAGCACCAATGGAGAATTGTTTGCTGGGTTTAAGGATCTGAGGTTACTGAAATCTAAAGGCAGCACAGCCTGAGAGCCAGAGCTGCCACTAACACAGTAATGCACAGAAGATAGTTCCCTGAGCAGGACAGTGGCTGGACATTCAGAGGCTGAAAGCAGACTTGGCTGGGCAGCCTCTTCCCCCAGAGCTGCTGGTTCCCACATCTTGTTAGAGACTTAACAGAGCCAGTCCAGCACAACTGGAACTACCATCATTTACAATGGAAAACCAGCCACTGCTTTGAGGGACAGAACTTCAGGTATGTGCACGCTATGGAAGTCAAAAAAAAAATTTCCAAAAGTTTGGCATCCCAACCCCTTCCCGCTCACTGACAGACCAGACAGACTCAGTAAGGTGGTGAATTGTGTTTCTTAGAGACCATTAAAAGTACATGAGCTGATTTCTAGAACATGCCAGAGGAGATTACAGTTGTGTTTATAGCGGAAGTAAATAAACTGCACGTGCATGAGTGGCTGTGATGCCGTGGGCAGCAGAGTCCCTTGCTTTTACTAAGAGGGCCTTGGTGATTTGTTTTGCCCATGCACAGAGACACAAAGGAGGGGAAAGGGAGCAGAGGAGGAGGCAACATACAACATCTAAGAGAAAGAAATGAAAGAGACAGCCTAGGGGGACCTCAGCTCCCAGACAGACAGGAGGAATGGGACACCAAAGGCTTGTTTAGAAGAGTTTGAGAGAATTGCTGGTCTGGGGGCCTCGAGCTTGTAAAAGCCTACCCCCCAAAATGAGAGCAGTAGGTGGCACAAGCAGGCCCTAGGTGGCTCCTCTTCAGCAGATGCACTTCTGACCGTCCATCCCATCTCAGTTCCACAGGGAATTAGGGAAGTGCTCAGGGGATGAGGGCTGCTTCACTCCAGATCTTCATCTCTGCCCTCCCCCAAGGCGGAGAGGAATGGAATTGCAGGGAGATGAACTCAAATGAAAATGCTGGGGCATGGAAGTGAGCATGCAAAACCTAGCCCCTTGCCAGGGGTCCTGGGAGGCAGAAAGGGGCTCCCCCAGCACAGCCAGTGAAACAAAAAGCATCTGCTTCTGCCATCTTTTGTACTTTGCTCCTATCTGGGAACTCCAGTGACGTTCTCCCTGCCTCCTCTTAGGCCAAAACAGATCCCAGTGCATTCTAGAACAGAGGCAGAGCTTTCTAAATTAAAGGAGTACCCTCTTTCCAGTCTGGATTACAGGCTACAGCTCAGCTTGTTACAAAAAGTTAAAAGACAAGACACACATTCCTCGGAATACTTTACAGAGACAGGGCAGCTCATTTAACCCACGTCCAACAACACATTCAAACAACTCACAGCTCCTGTTACTTTTGATGGAGAAGAACAAGGGAATTGCCCACAGAAAGCCACAGCCACAAGTTTACCTGGACCTAAAATTCACGAGAACCCATAGCAAGTAGGAGGATTCAGTTTGGTCAGCAAGATCTCTAGAGGCGTAAGTTGCCAAACTGGAACATCTGATGTCACTTTGCAATATCCATGCCCAGAGTACCATTCCCCTTTGAATCCCCAGCTAACCATTTCAAGTGTTTTCTAACTCCTGCTGAAAGCTAGGGCTTTGTGGCAGCAGAAACAGAGCAGATATTCTTCATCAGAAAGCTGTGCAGCTCATTCAGTCTCATCTGCAATACCTCCAGGCCCCTTCACCTCTATCTGCTATGGCAGTGAGCTTCCTCAACGTTCAACCCAGCCACACAAAAGCAAAACACCAATTCCCAGTCTGCCACTACTCCAAAGTCTTCCTTCTGGAAAGCTACAATTCAGTAGGAAGCTACAGGGTCCTGGCTTGTGTGTGCATAGATGAAAGGCATATTTGACACTCCCCACCAGACTAATTGTCGTTCATTTGTTCCTTGTGGAGAGAGACTTGACTCCCACACATGCCTTTTAGATAGTAGCAATGCCCCTTTCACTTAACTGTGTTTAGCCTCTTGCACTTGACTGAGGTAATCAGGTAGGCCCTCCTTTATGAAAACTGAAATGGCCATTGAATGGCAAGTCATCTGGAAATAAGGACAGGCAGAAAAAAATCATTTCTTCAAGTGCTCACCTCTCCATGGCTACATCACTACGTGTAGCTTAGATGGCTCACAGCCACTGGCCAACACAAACCAGCTTTTATTTCAGAAGCTCAATGAAAAGCTCAAGTCATGCTGCCACTCTTTTTAGGCAGAACACTAAAGGCTCTCACATGCTGAAGTCCTCCATCCCAAAAGGCACTGTGTTAAGGCATTCTTATTTTGCTAGAGTTCACACAGGCACTATTTGACAAGCTTACACCCAAAAATAAAACACAAAAAGTTCTCTGCAGAAGAGCAGGAGCAAATAGCTACCCACTCTTCCTCAACTTCCCTTTCCTCTAAACTTAGAGGACACTCCCCAAAGCTGCAGCAGCTATTGAAAAATCTACCTTTGTTTAGTAAGCGGCTCAGAGTCCTATACAGGAGATAAATTGAAACCAATAAGGAAATTAATGAAGAAGCTAGGTGAAAGGGAAGGAAAGGAAAAATTCAGAGGCAAGAAGAGACAGGCAAGGTAACAGGGGACAGGAGGTTGCAGACTGAAGGAGCTACATTTAAGTAAAAAAGTAGACTGGAGACAAAGCAATAGAAAAAAGAAAAAAGGAAAGAACAAAAGGGCAAGTTACACCAAAGGTCCCTCAGAGAACTCCAAATCACCCACCAGGGAAGGAAGTTGCCAACCCACCCACACCAGGGTAAACAACCCTCATACTTACAGGATTGTCTGACCTGGCAGGCAGAATTTCCCATTTCTACAATGATGGCATTCCCCATTCCTCATATTACTAGGTAAAGCACACCATTTCCACACTAAGTGAGGGAGTTCCAGCACTTCTACCTCCCTATCCCAAAGACTGGAGTTGACACTTATGCAACTAAGACCCTCAAGATCTCAAAACAAAAAGAAAAAGTTTAAAGTACTCTAGAGCCGGTGTCTCCTCACCTTTGAGCCTGAGGTTTTTGGTACTTACTTGCAATCACCACCACCACGAGGGCACCAATCACTCCCATCATGATCATCATCTGAAAAAAAAAAAGATTGTCCAAGAGCAATACTCAGAACAGATTGACAAGCTCCCATTCTTCCTGACAGCCAAGGAACCTGAGCCAGGCCCAAAGGCACGGCAGCCAAGGCCTCAAAGCCTTCCCACAGTGAAAGAATCGTAAACATCTGAAATCGTTAGTAAGCCCCAGCTATACTTGAAAGCTCTGCAGGAGAGGAGGAGCCCAGTCCCCTCCTGACAAGGAGATGGTGGCACTGGGGCACTCACCTTGCAGTTCTTCCACCAGTACTTCCTTTTGAGTTTGGCTGCGCTGCTTTCAAACACCGAGGCGCCGGCCTGCAGTGCGTCTGCCCGGTCATCCAGCTCCGACAGCTTCTCGTCTCGCTGCAGCACCTTGTCTACGTTTACACACATGATATCAACCACCTGCAGAAGGAGAACAGCGGGAGCAGTTCTGTTGGTAAAGACAGCTGAAAAGGTAAGAGGAGTTACTTAGCCAATAACTGATGTGGCAATACTAAGGAACAAAAAGCATGAACAAGGGGGAGGGGAAAGGATCGGCGTAAGAAAGAAGTAATTTCAAGTCACTGCCTACTTTGGAATGAAAAAAAAAAAATAAATCGGAGAGTCACTGTTAAAACATCACTTCAAGTACACTTCAACCGGGTCCTCAGCCTCACATTCTCATCTGCTTCTAAGAGCTCTCGGTTCCAGCAGCAAGCCAAAGCCACCCTCGCTACGAGGGGAGTCATGCGCTCCCTCACTCCCCGAGAGCTGCGGAATTACCGGATCGCCTTCCAGCTGCTGCCCCGCTGAGGCACACGGGCGCTACTGCGCGCCAGCAGCCAAGCCAGCGGCTCTGATCCCGGGAAGCCAGGCAAGGGTTCCCTCACATCCCTGCACACAGCGTTCCCTTGAAGCAGCCCGCAGGGATTAAGAGCTGTCCTGGATGCTGTACAGCTTTGTTCCCACAAGAGATGCACGAGGTACCAAAAGAATCTGGCAAGCCTGGTTCTTGGAAGTCATATCTAGAATTAAGAGGCTTTTAAACATAAAGCAATCTCTCCTCCAGCCTCTTTAATAGGTTTGCCACTCTATTTTTGAGTATTGAGCATTAACTAATTTCTGGCTTTGGCATGACAAAAGGAGCCACCCCCTCAGCGACAGACACGGGTGAAGAGCATCGCTGCTGCAGAGCAGCGGGAGCGGAGTCCAGGCATCCCCCGGGCTGGCAGCTACTGACCTCCTGCACCTGGGCCTGCGTCTGCTGCAGCCGGCGATTGCTCGTCAGGTTGGGGGGAGCCCCGGGGGGACCCCCACCGGGGGCTGCCCCTTCGGGAGCGCCTCCTTCGGGAGCCCCTCCTTCGGGAGCGCCGGGAGCAGGCTGCTGAGCTGGGTCAGACCTAAGGGAACACACACATGAGCGAAGAGAAAACTCAGCCGCTCCAGAGAGAACCCCCAAATCTACACGAACCCCAGCGTCCCCAGGCTGCAGCAGCCTCGGGAGCCTGCAGCCTCGCTGGATCCCGCCGGACCGGGAACGGACGGGCTCGTGGCAGAGCCTGAAGCAGGGGCAAGCCCGGGGGGCAGCGGGAACGGAACAAGCCGCTCGTCGAAGGAGCTTGCGGGTGCGGTCGCGCCAAGCACGGCGGCCTCCCGGGGGAGCAGCGACCTGGCCGCACGGGCATGACCAGGAGACGGGGAAGGAAGGCGGGGCAAGAGGGACAGGGAGGCAGCGCGAGGCACCCCGGGGGGACCGGGCAGCCACCGGCCAGGCTGGCTCCAGCTGGGGCCCCGCACATCACCCCTGGGGCCCGGCCCACGCACCCACTCGCCCACGCCCCCAGCGGGGGAGCAGGACCGCCCGGGGGCGGTGCGGGCAAGCCCTGCCCGCGGCTGCTGCAATGCGCCACCCGACCCCACCGCCGCCGGCCAGGACGCGGGTTCCGCACTGACCCCCGTCCCTCACGCTGCAGCACCGCCCCCGCGCCGCGCCCACCGCCGCTCGCCCACGGCCGGGCGGACACTCACATGGCCGGGCCGGAGGGAACGGCGGGACACCGAGCACCGAGCTCCGCACCGACAGCCCGCGCCCCCGGACCCCGCACTTATACCAGCGGGGCCCCGCCCACAGAGCCAGCAGCCAATCAAAAGTTGCTCCCCTGAGAGCCGCAGCTCGGCACCGCCCCTGGGTTCCTCCTCAGCCAATCAGCGCTCCGCACCCTGCGGGGAAAAGACAGGCAGTTAGCCCCGCCTCCAGACAAGCCCCGCCCTGTCGTAGAACTGTCCAATGGGAGCAGCGCCCTGCGCCCCGCCCCCGACCTGGCCCCGCCCCTGCGGAGATCCCGCGGTGCCCGGTCCGGGGGTGCCCGGCGCTCCCTGCGCCCCCGGCCCCGCTCCCGACCCGCGGCCCCGACAGCCCTGACGGGTCCGCCGCGCTCCGCGTAGGTCACGCAGGGCCTGATCGTGGTCACCTGCCCCGTTCGGTTTTCCTTTTGGAGCCCAGCCCGGCTGGCGCCGCTGTGGTGGGGGCTGCGGAGCGCTCCCGAAATCCCCCCTCCGCAGTGTCTGTTGGCTCTGGTTAAGCCGCTGTCCTTGCAATTAAGAGATGGTGTCGCTGGCCCGCTTCCAGCATAGAGCACGTCATGAAAGCGAAGCTGAACAAGAGCCGATCGAGCTTCTGCAGCCTGCTGGGAGAAATGAGGCTCGCACAGCTGCCCTAAGAACGGCAATGTGTTTGGGGTTTTTCCATCTAAATATCTGGAGAAGCCTGCTGGATCAGAAGGGAAGATTCTCCAACTCAGGACAAAAAAGGGGGCAGGAGCATACTGGAACAAGAAGACTCTTCATACAGAATTCTGTGTGGTGAGTAGAGAGTGACAAGCGTAGGCTCACATTTACACTACCTTTTCCTTCCATAAGGTGATGCAGGACGTTCACGTAAGTTTTTAGTGTCAGATCTCACAGATTATCAGGCACACAAGACAGGTATGTTACAGATTACAGCACGGTAACTACAAGCTCATGGTTACAAGGTGAAGAATAATGCAGCATTGTGACTAGAGACAGGTGATTTGCAGATAGGAGCAGTCTAGCACTGACCTCAGAACTCCAGGTTTTTACACTCTGCCTTCAGACGGAAGGCACAAGTTGAGGAAGAAGCTGCTGTAGCCTGGCAGCCTTTCCACTGCAGTCTGAGGACCGTTCCAATAACCACTGCAAATAAGTTTGAGCTTATGGAATTGGTGGCCACGGAGTTTCTGCCAGGTTGGTGCTTAGGGATGAAGAGATGACAAAGGGTACAAGATACATTCTCTGATACTTTTCCAGTTTCTGACATATTTTCAGTCAAGGACTTGCTATACCTGCTCAGTCTCCACTTGGATCTGTACAAGCTTCCTGAATCCACACCTTTTGGCAAGTCCCACAGGTCTGTCACCCTGCCACTGAAAACGTGGACTTCAGCTGTTCAGACAGAATTTGCCTTCACTTTCCTCAGGCTTAGGCCCAAAGAAAGTTCTTTCCATTCATCCCCTGCCACTTCCAACCAAATGCTTTTGAGAGACAGAGCAGCATTGCTCTGTAGCAAGATACATCAACTCAGCAGATAACTCCCTGATTACTTAGCAGCTATATTAACAACTAAGGCGAATTGGTATGCAAATGCCTGCTCATCTAATGGATTTTTCCCAAGCGTACAGTGGTGTGATGTTGGACTAGAGGGATGCCAGCTATGATTCACTGTAACTTCTCCTCTAAAGGAACTGGCTTCTAGTTATGGAAAACTAGAAGCTAGAATTTTTAAAAATATTTACATACCCGAATTACTTTTGCAAATCCTGCCTAAATTATAAACAAAAGGCCATTTGGTCATGAGGTGTCATTAGCAGGGGATAAAGTCATAATGACTGTGGAATGAGATAAATCCCATTCTGAAGAAGTTTTGATGCATTTCAGCTAACATTTGGATTAGTCACACTTAACCACAGACGAGTGGAGGGCAAAGGGAAAGCCATGAGCAGGAGGATATATTAGCAGGACCTTGTGGCACTAATTTGAAAAATTTGACTATGAGGAAAAATCTAAGCTGGAGAAGACTGGAATCGTCATGTGAGATGTGTGAACCTGGGGCTCAGAGACTGAAAGGATGCTAGAAGCCCGGCCAAAAAAACAGAGGAGCAGAGGGTCACGTTCAGGGATGCAGGCTGGAACAGATGCCTGCAAGATGTCAGAAATGACTGAGGGGGCACAGAGGAGCTCAGGCCCGGAACAGTGGCAGGACCTTGAGACTTGAGTAGAAGCATGCAGCAAAGGCTGTAGAAAGCACTGGGAACTCAATCGTGTGGAAGCTGGCTTTATTCCGACTGCAATGCACAAAACTACACTCCACGGGCTGAAGCCACTGCTGTTCCCTAGCGGTGCTTTCCGGTGCGATTGAAGCGCTTGTACAAGTACCGGATCCTCTTGTTGAGTTTGTCATAGTCCTCTGCAAACATCCGATCGCCCACCATCTGCTTCTTGCGGATGCACCTCTGCAGCTCGTTCCCCCGCCAGCCCCGCAGCCAAGTGGGCCCCATGATGAGACTCTTCGGGTGGATCTGGAAGCCGCCTGACAACAGGAGAGCAGAGACAGATGAAGGCAGGCACTGGAGAGGGCTGTTCCCAGGGGGCCGGCCCCAGTTACCCCCGCGCTGTGGCTGCCATCCCGCAGCTGAGTGCAGCCCCGGGCCGCTCCTGCCGCGGGCCACAGCGCCGGGGCGTGCGTGTCTTACCCAGGATCCCCACGTTATCATACACCCCGAACAAGGCCCGCTTCTTCGTCCACCGATCTACCGGCTTGCGCTTGGGCGGCTCCTTGATGCGGATGGGCCGGGAGAGCCCAGCCAGGGGCGAGGACAGCGGCACGGGGAGGCCGGGCCGCACGGGCGCCCAGCGCGCCCCGCCGCAGTCGCTAAAGCTCCGCTCGGCGCAGGGCAGGGGAGCGGCACGGCCCAGCAGGGCCCGGCCCGCCGCTCGCAGCAGCACCGTTGCCGCCGCTGCCGCCATGGGGGTGACCCCCGGTGCCCCGGGACGGGACGGGACGGGAAGAGCGGCGGTGCCGCCGGGCCACCCCTTCCGCCGCGGAGCGCAGAGGCGCGCGGGTGACGTTGCGCCAACGGTCGGGAGGGCAGGGGAGCCGGCGATTGGGCGAGGGCTCGGCGCGCGGCGCAGCCGCCGGGTGCTGATAGGGCCGTGGCGGGAAGGGGCGGGGCGAGCGCGGTCCGCGCGCGCTGTTTCGAGCGCCCGGGGCCGTGCGGGGCTGTGGCGGCCATGGCGGCGGCCCCGGAGTTCCATCTGCCCCTCGCTGCCGCCGATCTGCTGCGGGATGGCGGCCCCGGGCGCTACGTGGTGCAGGAGGTGCTGGCCGCCCGCGATGTGCCGCCCGCGCTCGCAGGTAAGGTGTCCCTACGCCCCCCTCCCGGCTGGGCCCGGTCGTGCCGCCGGCTCACGGGCATCCCCCCCGCCTCTCTCCGTGTTTTGCCGCAGCTTTCCGGGCCGCCTTCCGAGCGCGGGGCGCGCTGGCCGTGCTGCAGCACTTCGACTGCGTGTACAGCGTGCTGCAGTGAGTACGGGGCAGGGACGGGCCGGAGGGGCGGGCGCTCGCCCCTCTGCCAGGCGCTCTTTGCTCGCCGCCCTTACGCCCTGTGTTTGTCCCGCAGCCACTTCCGAAGCGCGGGCGCGGCTGTCAAGGAGGACGCCCTGGAGCTGATGATGCACGGTGGGTACCCGCTGGGGCTGACGCCCCACTAACAGAGAGGTTGGCGGCTCAATGATGATATAAAGGCTAATGTGACTCGGCCAGCTGGGCTGCACCCTCAGCCCGCTCCTGTCATACGGGTCTGTAATCTTGGTGGACGATGCTGAGTTGTGCATGTTCGCTGTAAGGGCAGACCGACAGAAAATCCTCGTGCCCGTGTCCCTGGAAAATAGGTCTGTGGGATGTATCAGCTCAGAGCGAGTGTTTCTCTGAGCTGACTGAGGGCTGTGGGGATAGGACAAGACAGCATGCCCAAGGTCTGGGCTGCAGGGGGCAGTCCGTGTTACAGCTGGTGAGATGTGAGCACACATCTTTGGTAATCTGATGGCTGCTCTAGGCCTCCCAAGGAGAGGATGGCTGAGGGACCTGGCAAGGAGTGCTCATGACTTTCTGCTTCTCCTCAGTGGTGTCCCATCATTCCAATGAACTTCCCACTATCTTGAGCGACTCTGGGCTGAGCCATGCAGACCGCGCTGCTCACCTCAATGCTCTTAAGATGAACTGCTATTTGCTGACTGGCCTGATGGATGCCTTTGAAATGGAAACCTGCAAGAACAGTTGTTTGGAGGCAGATCCTGGTAGGAAGGTAGGTGAAGACACTGGAAGAAAAATGATAAAAGTCAGAATAAAATTTTAAGCTTGCTGAACTCTCTAGTATCTGTCAGATTTTATAGCTGAGTTTATACAGACATGATGCCAGCAAGAGCAGTCCATGATGTGGAGCACTGGTGCTTCTGTGAAACTGTGCATGGAAAACAGCAAAGGGACTGTCGTGTGTCTAAATATCAGAAGGGACTTGGATGCCCAGACCTTTCTATTTCATTCTTGAGTTTCTGGCTGGAACTTAGTGTGCCAGTATTTCCTCAAGATTTCCATTCTGTGACGGCAGTGGATGCAGGTGTAATCCTTAAACCACAGAAGACACTGGTGCTGGCTTGAGCTGAGAGAGAAAGAACTGGGGGGAAAAAAGCCCCTGTGATCTCACACTTCTTGCTGGTGTTTTGTCTGTTGTGAAGCTGCTGATATATCTCACTGTGTAATCTCCTTTCTAGAGCAGGAAGAACCATGCCAAGACTTCTGGATCCTTGTGGGAAGAGGAGAGGGAAAAGCTTTTACGGCTGCTTACACAGCTGCTGCAGCTGGATCTCCGTCAGCTTTGGGGTGGTTTAGCAGTGGAAGAAGAGTTTGTCAGGTATGCTTTGGAGTGGGTGTATTGGTGGAATGAGTGACTGGTTCTGAGGGATGAAAGGTTAAATGATAGACTACCAAGGAGATGGTATTAGCCCTCTGTGGGGTGCAGATCATTGGGAAGCTGAGGAAACAGCTTGAGGCAAAAGTGATGTGTATAGGAGCCATTTCCTCTCCTCACATAGGCCACAAAAATTCAGATGCTTGCTAATTTTTAGAGGACATTAGAGAATCTCTCTAACAGAAATGTGTGGTGTGCTAGAATGATGTTTGTGCAAGTTATGACAGTGAGGTTTGCTGTCTGTCTTCTGTGGGTTTAGCTTAATGACAGGAAGCTGCTACCGTATCCTGGAGAATCCAAGTATCGGCCTTCAGAGGTACCGGGTCACACGGGAGGCTGTGACACATCTGCTTGCTGCAGCTCTGATTCACTGTGACCACATGTTCAGTGAGTTCATGCTCTTCTGCCTTCTTCCTGAAGCCATTCCCAGTTACTTTCCCTGACCTCTTTCTTCTCACGTGTTAAAGGTGCCACTCTGAAGATCACGCAGATGCTGCAGCACTTTGAACATGTAGCCCCTGTGTTTGCACAGGCCGTGAGCCTCTGGGCTAAAGAGTATGGTCTAAAAAGCCTGGTGGGTGAACTGCTAAGGTGAGACAAATACTTGGAGGCTTGTCCTTTTATTCCTAGCAATTTGAGGCACCCCATTTCTTGTTTCATCTTTCTGTTCAGGGAAATTGGACAGAAATGTCCCCAGGATTTGGCTCGTGAGGCTTCTGGAGTCAAGGGTTATGCTACTTTTATAAGTGAACTGGCTGAACAGATTCCAGCTCTGGTGCTCTCCAACATGAGTGTTCTCCTGCCTCACTTGGATGGGGAGGTACGTTTCTGCAAAGTCACCTGTCCAGAAAAGTCAAACAGTCGAGATGCTGCTATCCAGTTTTTCTGTCTGAAACAGAACCAGTTTCACAGAGCTCAAGTATCCAAAACCTGCACTACTGGAATAGAGTCTGCCCTTATCTAAAAGATGCAAAGGGAACAGAAACCACGGCATCTCCTGTCTGGTTGTCACTATCAGATGTCAGAGAACAGGAGCCCCATCCAACCTGGCCTTGAACAGTTCTAGGGATGGGGCATCCACAGCTTCTCTGGACAACCTGTTCAAATATCTCACCACACTCTCAGTAAAGAATTTGTTCCTCATATGTAATCTAAACCTACCTTCACTTTGAGGCCATTCTCTCTTGCCCTATCACTGAATGCCCTGGTAAAAAGTCCCTCTCCAGCTCTCTCACAGCCCCCTTTAGGTACTGGAAGGTGCCTCCCCAGAGCCTTCTCTTCTGCAGGCTGAACAAGACCAACTCTCAGCCTGTCTTCATAGCAAAGGTTATTGTGTCTTGCACGCACAGCTATGTTCACCCAAACTTAATACAATATCCATACTGAAAAACTTCACTTAGGGCTGGAGCCTGGGATTTTGAAGGCCCAAACTCTGGGCATATCAAATCGTGTCTTTTGGTCCGTTCCTTGTTCAACAACCCCTGTCTTGGCAGAGTTACACGATGCGAAACGCCATTCTGGCGGCTATGGCAGAAGTGCTGGTGCAGGTGCTGAATGGTGACCAGCTGGAGGAATCTGCCCGTGGTACTCGGGACAAGTTCCTGGATATGCTGCAGGCCCACGTGTGTGACGTCCATAGCTTTGTTCGCAGCCGCGTGCTGCAGCTCTTCACTCGCATCGTGCAGTGCAAGGCAAGTCTGTGCTGGGCAAATGGCGTTGCCTCAGTCATCTCTTCCCATCTTGTGTGTTCTGAGGGAATTTCTGCCACCCTGCTTTTTGTTCGCAGAGATTGAAGTTTTAACAGAGCAATGTGCTGTCCCTGTGTACTGTGGGGTCTGCAGTTTCTTCCAAGAGACCAAAGATCCCAAGGGTGGGGGAACTGGGGGTGGAAATTAGATGCTGCTCATTCTTACCAGGACAAACTAGAAGAAAGAGCACAGCATCTTTTCACACACTGGTGTGGGAGAGCATTGCAATTACCAGATATACTAAGACTCAACTCAGCAGGATCCTGGATAACCTAAATCCTTGCTTTCAGCGGAGGCTGGACCAGAATATATCCAGAGGTCTTTTGAGCCCTAGACTTTTCTGTAAATCTATAATCTGTGCTTTTTAGTACATGAATATGTCTGCAGCAAACTTTTCCCAAGTCTCTGAGCCTTCTTGATAAGTTTATCTGTGCTCTTGTTGTGTTCTAGGCCCTGCCTTTGACTCAGTTTCAGTCTGTGGTGTCGCTGGCTGTTGGGCGGCTCAAAGACAAATCTGTCTTAGTGGTTAAGAATGCAATCCAGCTCCTGGCTGCGTTTTTGTCCAATAACCCCTTCTCCAGCAAGGTAATTTTGATTAATATGGTGGATATATTAGATGTCTCTTTGCAGGCTAAATATCTGCAGTGTGCTGTAGCCAGGGCAGTTGCATTTCTGTGTCTTGTGGAAGGAATGGTGTAGCCTTTGAATTCTGCAGGTGGCAGCTTTCTGGTCTTCCCAGGTTCAGATTGAGTTCTTGGACTCATCCCTCTCTTGGTGAATTCATAGCTATGCTGAAGGCCAGGAGGGATGTGATTGAGGTAAAAACCTGCAGCAGTTTTGAGTCCACCGTGAGGTTTCTCTCCTTAGGATCAAAATTAGTTGTTTAGAATATTCTTCATGGATCTGCAGTTCTTTGTGTTTAGCTGCACCTTCTCCTGAGTTTCTGAGCCTTAGATGGGCAACTTAGGGCAGTTCTCATTCTAGGATCAGGGCCAGAGTCTACTCTTCCACTTTCCCAAAACAGGGTTGTTATCCATGGGGATTGACAATTAAAGCAGGGAGTGGAAGAGAGAGGAGAATTCTGGCATTTCAGGAAAAGGAGGATAACTAACATATTTCTTCTTCTCTTCCTGACATCTTCAGCTAAGCTGGACTGACTTGAATGAGCCACTGAAGAAAGAAGTGCAGAAACTGAAAGAAATGAGGGATCGTAGCAGACCCACAGCAGGTAATTTTCTTTCTTCTTTCCACTTCCTAGGACAGTCCAAAATGTGCTTTTCCTCATATTAAATTTGCTCCCAGCTTGTGACAGCTTTTGTCTCAGATCTTACCTGTGTGAGATGGTGAGACCAGATAACTGGGATTAAACTCACAACAGTTTTCCTTATGGTGGTGTTATAAAAGGATAATATTAATATCCATGTCTAAATCAACAGTCCTTATAGCTATATATCCTATTTTTGGGGTAAGAATTGAAAATGTCTATGAACACCCTCCCAGGTTTCTCTTTTCTACCACTCAAGGACTGCTTGAGTCATGA